CTTGTACAAGAAACGGCAAAAACATGTCTATCAGAGTGTTTTTTAGCGCGACATGTATTCTGTATTTACCCCATCTTCTTTCAGCGGTGCCTTCTTATATTGTATAATCTCCAAACTTCACCTCACCTGTAGATATTGTGTAATACTTTCAGATTTATTTCAAGATGACCTAAAGGCTACGTATACTGTGAATAAGAACACTGACAATTAATTAAGGTCTGATTATAGTCAAAACGGAAGAAAATAGCATAAGTCATGATTCGTCACTGTTTTTGCAGTGTTACAGAGGATCTGAATCACGCTACTTTGTTCCTATTTAGTACTTGACTATTGTTTGTTATTACTTTGTTATTTAACATATACGTTATTTTCATACCCGATGTAACAAAAGTAACAGGACGGGTCTGTACTTTGAAAAAAGGCCAAAGTCAGGTCTATACTATTTACTGATTCTTTGTTTAATGATGACCTGGTGTTTAACACTAAGCCTTATCTTCAAGGTTACCTCGAGGTCAATTTTAGTTTTTTTTTTGGAATGCCCCCTTTTTGACATTGGCAGTCGAAAGGGAAGCTCTACTTCCTAATATACATCAAAATCTAAGATCAAGGACAACTCTAAAGCTCAAATGAAGGTCAAATGTGTGTTGCTAAAGTTCCTAGAAGTTTAGCAGGATTATTGATAAAAAATATGTTTTAATAGCTTTTAACAAAGACGATTTAACCTTGAACCTCGACTTCAAAGTCAACTTTTTTTAAATGAGGACCCCAATATTTGGCATCCTCAATGAACAAATTTCGTTCTGCTACTTTATAAGCTCTGATGTTAAACTATTTATAAACAAGAGTTCCACAACGTTGGTCCGCAACGCTCACACTAGACTTGACGAAGTTTGAACTTTCTGCGGTTGCCATTCCCGATTCAACCAATGAAAGGGAGCCTGTTAATCACGTGTTTATTGCGACAGATCAGCTGGTTTTTCCACTTTTCGCTCTGTTTGACATGACATGTTTTTTTTCGGTCGGCGTGGCTTTCTCTGAGATTCTTTGCTATATTTTATTTAGTTTATTTAAATAATAATATGTATTTTCAGGAGATGTGTGTTAAAAATTTTGTCTTCAAATATGTGAATAAGAATACAATTTTGGGTTACGGAAATGATACGCCGGCAGTACGGCGTCGTTTGAGTTTGTAAATCCACCTTGAGGCTTGAAGACAATTCCAAAGTTAATATTTAGATCCTTGTTATATGTTACTAATCGGCTGACCTTGATATTTTTCATCAATGTCCCTGCTAAACCTCTCGGAATTTTCCCTAGGCTCACACATTTAAGCTTCATTTGACCTTTAGAGGTGACCTTGATCTCAATACATATTCGGACGTGGAATTTCCTGTTATTCCGATTTTCGGAGTCAAAAAAGGGTTTTTTTATTAAAAAAATAAAAATTCACCTCCTAATAACCTTGAATATGAGACTCAAAGCCAAAACCAAGGTCACAATTGAGCTCATTGTTCAAAGTTAGCGAATACCTAACCGCATCCTTTTTAAAAAATACCTTACCTATGAAAAGAGACCAGCTCTTTACTTTTGTTACACCCGGTATATACTGCAGTAACCTGACTGGGTAAATAGAAATGACTATAGGTACCAACATTAGTTTTCAAGGTGACTTCAATGTAAACAATATTAGGCATGAGGTGCTGGGCTACACTGGCCAGACCAGTATCCAGTGCCACTTAGGAGGGCGATGTCGATATTTAGGAAAATCTATTACATCATCACTGATTGACATATTCCACCACATGGTGAATACATTAATCAACGATTGCACGTAAAGTCTATCCCAAATGGTGCGCATATCTGAAGACAATAGTTGACTTGTTTGCGTTGAGCTGATCCTGACCTGTCATTTTTATTACTGCGGGCGTTCTATTACGGCGAACCAGTGCACGTCGAAAATGAATCTGATATAGTCATTCATGACCTGTACTTCCAACTACCTTAAGTATAATTTGTTATCCATTATTATTTCGTTTCGTCAGTAGTTTCGTCCATAGAAGCGTAGCCTTGTTTGTTATAATACGTGGGTTACTAGACATCCATTCTATGCAACGTCAAGTATATACTTATAAATAAATAATTTGTGTAGCTGACAGTGTGTGTTTTATTCTACTTCCAAGCCACCCATCAGAGTAGAAGCATTTTTTGAAATAGCAGTGTGTAAAAGCGTCCAGTGGGAAAGTTCACTTTTTGATTTAAGAAAAAAAATATTAACTTAATGAAAAGAAAATATTTATTACTATCAACGTATCCGTAAATTCGGCAGGTTTTATTTCTTGAATATCACTCCGTCCAAATGTTTGCCATCTCTTCGGACAAACTCCTCTAATCGCGCGCGCAAATTCTGAAACACTCTCTTGCAGAGTTTTATTTTATTTTATTGTATTCATATATTTCTCAACAGATACAAGATCCAATTACAGAGAAACACTATACAAGTGTTGAAAAGCAAATAGACACACATATAAAAAATAGTATCATGGATTGATGATACTAAAAAAACCCTATGTGTGTGTAGCAGAAATCCAACACAAAGCGCCATCAGTGCAGTAGTAACACATGCAAATTAATATATTTCTGAACGTTAATTCTACCCCTAAGATAGATAAAGAATAAGATTAAAAGGTACTGGAAAGCTGAAAATAGTTTACGTCACTGAACAGTTTTTAAATATGACAATATTTTTCTTTTATATATATGTTCGCTCATATCAAAGTCAACCTCGTTAAAGCATTTCAACATTTTGTATGAAGGGGATGCTAGCACAGTATTTGTTGAAGCTTTTGGAAGATAAAACATGCTATAGTTCCTACCATTAAACCGAGGCACAGTAAAGTTTAAGTTCAACAAAATTTCACGACAATCAATCTGATTGCTTAGCAACTTATGCACAAAGCAGCAGCTCAACAAAAATCTTCTCTGTTCAAGACTGACCATGCCAAAGTGACCTAAAAGGTCCTTCTTTGGATAGTTGAATGAAGGATATGCACCAGATGCTTTTAAATACAGATATTTGAAAAATTTAGTTTGGATCTTCTCCACTTTAGATATAAAGGAGACCAGATGATACAACCATATTCAAGTAAGCTTCTAACTAAAGTGAAATACAGTATTTTTAATGATTCTATGTTAGTAAAAGATCTGCAATTTCTCATAATGAATCCAAGCATACGTGAAGCTGATTTGTCTATTTGATTCAAGTGTGCTGAAAATGACAGATCCGCAGTAATAGTAATGCCTAGGTCTTTTGCTTCCTGTACTCTGTCAAGTTTGTGATTGTCCAGCATATAATCATATAGTATGATAGTCTTTTCTGGTAATGGACATTAAAGTAAATTTTTAAGTCATCCGCAAACATTTGGTTTTCTACTGTTATTATATGGTTGATATCATTAACAAAAATTAAATATAGTAGGGGCCCAAGTTAGTACCTTGTGGTACTCCCGTAATTGGTGTGTATGATTCCGATTTGAAGCCGTTATACTTCACAGATTGAACGCGTTCAGATAAATAGGAACGGAAAAACATCAACAAGCCGTCAGAAAACCCAAATCTATACATTTTTTTTAACAAAATCGAATGGTTTATTAGGACAAATGCCTTTGAGAAATCCGTGAATATAATAATAATAATAATAATAATAATAATAATAATAATAATAATAATAATAAATGGGCTTTATTTCGTACCTAAGTAAAAGTACAAAAAAGGCGAAGTGTCGATTGTTGTTGATCTACAGCAAGCGAGAGATAATTCATGAGGCAGCATAAGTTAGTTATTGTCGATCTTTTGTTCCTAAATCCATGTTGTTTTTCCGATAACATGTTACTTATACTACTCATAAAGCAGCATCACAAAAAGTTTAGGAAAACCACACACACACGAGCGATATGGCCCTATAATTCTTTACATCATTCACTTTTCCGCTCTTAAAAATAGGACGTACCTTGGAGGCCTTCCAGCAGTCCGGAAGACACCATCTTTAACCGATTTGTTGAAAATTTGACATAGAGGCTTAACAAAAGCTCTAATGCAATATTTTACAATGTATGTCGGGATTCCGTCTGGACCACTAGATGGCTTAGGCTTTAGTTTTTTGCAGGCTCTTACTATACAGCGACTGAGAGAGATTCGGAACTACATGCTTCTTGGTCTATGTCACAAGTAACAAGTGAATAGTTATATACGGTTTTAAAAAATTCAGCAAAGCCTGATACACTGGATTGCGGCTCTTGAAAATTCTGATCACTATAAAACATGTCGACAGGTATTCTAGAGTTCTTTCTTTTAGAGTTTATAAAAGTTCAAAATCCTTTGGGATTATTAGAAATATTATCTTGAACATTAACTATGTAATTTTGGTATGCATGGCTTAATTCAACTTTATCTTAGATCTAAGAAGTGTAATGTCGTTATATTGCTCCAAATTCACAGTTTCCTTAAACTGTCTAACTTTTGTGATAACAGAAGATTTTAATGTTAGATTTAATACGTTACAACACCAAGCTCAGGAGCTTGTGAACTTATTTAGTTGTTATGGTTTCATGCCAATAGTTAGTCAAAATACAAGCAACTCAAGTTGTCTAGATAACATCTTCATAAACTACGTAGACTCAGAAAATAGCGTTAATGTTTTTGATACTCATTATTCAGATCATTTAGCGCTTGACTATACTTTTAATTTATCACATGTACCGAAAGTACGTAGGAAACTCTATTATAGACCTATAACAAACAGCGGCCTTTTCAAACTTTACAATGATATGGAATCAACATCTTTCGAATTTGTTAATGAAAAAAGTACGACAATCGAATATGAAATTGAAAAATTCATATCTATTGTCAGAATTTCGATCAATCAACATCTTCCTATAAAATCGCGACATGTTAATGATAATAAAAGCTCCTGTAATGTGTATTGGTTCGATCATATAAGAAATATGAGAGAGACTTTGACTTTCCTAACAGAGCTTCATAAAGACGATGTTACTTTAGTTAGTACGGACTGCTTGAAACAATTTAAATACAGTTACAGACAAGAAATTGTGAAAGCTAAGATTAAAGCCAATGATGACTACATTAATAAATCCAACAACAGACAACATGCTGCTTGGAATATCATAAAGAATGTTAAACCGTACGCACACAACCAGGACTCCTCAACATCTCTCACAGCACATCAATTCAACGACTTTTTTACCCATAGGCCACAAAAACTTTTAAATAAAATTACCCCATCCGATGTTTCTCCATCGCATTATATGAATCATCCTACTCATAGTTCACACTTCAGGGAAGTTTCATATCATGATGTGAGAACTGCCATAAATAAACTAAAAAACTCAAAGAGTACTGACCCATATGGCTTTACTGTCAGGATTGTCAAAACCTTGCAAAATCTCATCATATATCCTCTAACCAAGTTATTCAATCAGTGTATAGAAAGTAATACTTTTCCGGATTTTTTCAAACTATCTAAAATTATACCCATTTTCAAACAAGGGGATACTGAAGAGTTATGCAACTACAGGCCCATTTCCTTAATACCTATTTTTGCGAAAATTTTGGAATTATTGTTGAAAGATCAAATTAATGAATACTTTGAGGCTAATAATCTATTTTGCTCAACACAGTTTGGTTTTAGGAAAAATAGTTCCACCACATCAGCTATTAACAGTTTTATTCAGTTTGTGAACCAGACTTTTGAAAACAACCTATATGGCGCAGCATGTTTGTTGGACTTGTCCAAAGCTTTTGATTGTGTTCAACACGACATCCTGTTGGAAAAGCTCCCTTTTTATAACTTTCATGATTAAATCTTACTTGAGTAATCGACGCCAATTTGTATTCTTTAAAGGTTCATCATCCTCACAGTTAGTCGCTGCTCACGGGGTACCGCAAAGCTCGGTATTGGGACCTATTTTATTTTTAATTTACGTCAATGATATAATTAACTATAATGTGAATAATAGCTTAATCCTATTCGCTGATGACACTACCTTGATGAATAGCAATGCCTCTTTAGCCTCATTGATATTCGACTCTGAAGCTCATAAAAGAAAACTAGCAAACTGGTTAACCGCTAATAAGTTGACCATCAATGAAACCAAGTCTCAGATGATTATTCTTAGCTTGAGGCAGCACGACACTAATACACTAAAGTCCGTGAAGTTACTAGGAGTCTACCTTGATGAACACTTGTCGTGGGAAACTCACGTAATCCATGTTCTCGATGCACTAGCAAAATATATATATTTGATAAGGAACTTGAAACAAAATGTCTCTCAGTCAGTTCTTCTCCTAACATATTATTCCTACTTTCAATCAAGAATTTAATACGCAATGTTAAACTGGGGTCACTCGGCCCATTCGTCAAAAGTTTTTGGATTACAACAACGTTGCTTGCGGTACATTGCTGGCCTCAAATACACGGAACCTTGCAAGGAAGCTTTTATAGAATTGAAAAACATGACAGTACCTTCTCTTTACATCTTCACATGTATGATGTATATAAAGACTAACCTGAGCCAATATACTACCCACAATGATGTCCACAGTTGTAGAACCAGAAATATGGATAAAATCTTAGTACCTCATAGCCGTCTCCAAACCATCAGGAACGGCACCAAATATTATGGGATAGTTTTTTATAACCTGTTGCCAGACCGTATAAAGAAACTGGATGCGAAAATTTTTAAAAATAAAATTAATGCTTATCGGACTACTAAAGCATTTTACTCGATCAACGAGTATTTGAGCAACAATTTTTCAGACTTGTCGGATTGTTAGCAAATACAACAGTGTTCCTACACCTGGGATCCTCTAGGCTCCTTGAACTTTCTACAAAGTCATCTGGTAAATTTTTAAATCAACATTTCATATGTCTTACCATTTTAACGTATACTAAGTGACATATAAATCCGAACACCCAGTTTAAATGGTTTTATTTTAATAAAAGTTGGTGAATGTCTGTAAATAACAAGTGAAAAAATTTTCAGCCTTATCAGTTGGACATTCCGGTTTTTATACTGCTTTTTTTTAATTCACTAACGCTCTAAAAATGAATATTTCAGCCGCAGTAAAGAATCAACGTTGGCGGATTTTGGTTCTTGACATCCTTTACGATCGGTTACGATGCCTAGAGTACGGAGACCTGTACGATTTCGTCAACTTAGTGAGTTTGATAGGGGCCGTATAGTGGGACTTCGGGAAGCTGGACTTTCTTTTCGGGCAATTGCAGTTAGAGTGCAAAGAAGTGTACACACTGTGGTTAGGTGTTGTCAGGCATGGCTTCGAGAAGGCCGTACGCAAAGAGCAAGGGGCACTGGACGCCGCCGTAGAACAACAGACCGTGAAGATCGCCGCCTAAGATTATTGGCCTTAAGGGACCGTTTCTCCACTACCAGGTCCATTGCAAATGAATGGTTTGCAGAACACGGAAGACCTATTGGCATGCGAAGTGTTTACCGACGAATGAGAAGTTTTGGCTTGTTTTCATACCGGCCACACTGGGTCCTCCCTTTAACTCGAGAACTCCGACGTAATCGCCTTGAGTGGTGCAGACAACGGTCACTCTGGGATCAGGAATGGAACAGTATTGTCTTTAGTGACGAGTCTCGATTTTGTTTAGGCATGCACGATGGTCGTGCCAGGGTTAGAAGGCGACGTGGTGAAAGGAGGAATCCACAGTTTTTTGTTAAAAGACATGTTCATCACACTGTTGGAGTTATGGTTTGGTGTGTTATAGCTTATGGTTCCAGGTCACCTTTAATCTTCATCAGAGGTAACATGAACGCGCAGCGTTATATCCACGAAGTTCTAGAACCCCATCTTTTACCCTATCTTGACACCCTGGCAGATCCAACTTTCCAACAAGATAATGCCCGACCACATGTTGCAAGAGTCGCAATAGACTTCTTTCAACATAATGATGTCACATTGTTACCATGGCGACCAAGATCTCCCGACTTATCCCCAATTGAGCACGTGTGGGATATGATGGGTAGGAGATTGCTCAATTTGCAACGTCCTCCTCAGACTCTAGAAGCACTTCGAGAGGAGTTGGTGGTTGCCTGGAATGAGATACCACAGGAGGACATTGACCACCTGATCAGAAGCATGCCTAGGCGCGTTGGAGAATGCGTAGCACATCAGGGTGCATCCACACATTATTAAAGGTCAAAGGGCTTTAAAGCAGTGCAATCATTTTGAAATGTTTATCATTTACTTATTATGCTTCATTAAGTACTTATACAAAATTTTATTAAAATAAAACCGTTTAAACTGGGTGTTCGGATTTATGTCACTTAGTATATATATGTGTATATGTGTATCTGCTTTTATTGAATCATAATGTCATAAGTTGATGTTTTTCTGTCTAATTTGAACATCAGTCTTTTGTCAGACTGCTTTTTGTATTAATTTTTTTTTTCTTTTGACTTGTGTAAACACGCTGGTGTACTTAACACAAATAAAGAATTGAATTGAATTGAATTGAAAAAAACTTTTTGTAATAGTGGTGCTTTTTTGATATTCCTGATTATATCTCTCGTATACCATCTTGGGTAACGAATTGTTTAAATTTAGGTACATGCTTTGCAATAACACCGAAAATACTTTCATAAAAATGACTACACAAGGTATTAACATCCGCTTCTCGCTCACACCAATTCCAGTCAATATTTAAGAAGTCTAAATAGAGGTTGCAAAGATTAGCTTTACTGAAATTGTACTTCACCGGAGTGATGTTTATTTCTCGTCAAATGTTTACATTAAGCTCCTCCAGCGTTCGTGGATTATTGGAATACACTTTTGACTTTAGATAACTCCACAAAAAATAATCGCATGGCGTGAGGTTGGGTGACCTAGGAGGCCAGTGAATGTCTCCAAACTTTTGAGGAAAAAGTGCTTTCACCGTGTCCAACGATGCTCTGGAAGTATGGGCAGTGGCCCCATCCTGTTGAAACCATGTGTTTCTGTTCAATCGATATTCTGTTGTTACAATAGGAGCAAAAAAGTGTCAATCATGTCCTTATACTATTCGTCATTATTCGTCAGAGCGGTCCGTTGGACCTTTGCTCTTAGTTAAAAGTCTCGTCGGTCTGTTAGTCTGCCAGGTCTGGCTACCCAGATACCAAACATGTTTAAGGGGAAAAGGGAAAGAAGGAAAGAAAGGAAGGAAGAAATGGAGCAAAGAAAAGAAGTAAATCATTTGAAATAGCTTAAGCATTATTGCTTTGACTACTCGAATGATGGAATTGACTGTCAATGCATAACCGTTTTCATCTTCAAAGAAATACGGCTCAATAATACCGCTAGAGGATATGGCGCACCACACAGTCACCTTTGGACTATGTAGCTGTTGTTGATGTTTCTCTTTTGGGTTCGTTGGTGCCCAATTTCTGCAATTTTGCTTGTTCACGTTCTCGAGTCTGCGCTGCGCAGGAAAAATACTCAACATCCGTTTAGCACAAGATTTCCGTAATACGTAATCACTTTCCTTTAAAGCATGGACTGATTGGATTTTATAAGGATGAAAAGCCACTTTTTCTTCATTATGCCATGCACTGTTGACCTAGGGATTCCCAAAGCAGCGAAATGCTTCCGTACAGAACGCCGAGGATTTGCAGTAAACTGCATCACTTACTCGACGTACATTTTCTTCGGTTGATACAGTAGGTGTGGGGCCATTAATCGGTTGACTGAGAGTAGAGTCTGTTTCACGGAACCTCTTAATCCACTTTTTCAATAGGTTCTTACTTGGGGCATCTCTTGGTCGGCGAATGTTGTATCGTGTACAAAATTTCCGAAGGGCAGCTGCGTATGAATCACCACCCTCAAAGTAAGCCTCGATAGCAAAAGCACGTTGCGCTCCGGTCCAACGTTGTGACTATTTAACCCGCACGCCGGACGCGTCCATCAAGACGTCTCCCCACTTCCTCGCGTATACAATTGCCGCGTAATTCAAATTTGAAATGTGAACTTTCCCACTGGACACCCTGTACAAGAATGAATAATTCTAAAGGCTGTCACTTCAACTTTTCAAACAAACAAACAAAGTATTTATTTCGCAACATAACATAGTTCCAGTTACAGGACAACTCAAATAATACAGAAAAGAGTATGCCAAATCTATTACAAAACCAAGGAAGGATAAAAATGAAAAATTGATACAGTTTCCAATAAATAAGAATTAAGGAGGAAAGAAAACACATGAAATAAAAATATTCTTAGAAGTTCAAATAAACGCAATGCGGAATTCAAGACATATAACAGTGAGCCTCAGTGAGAGAGGATAGAATAACACTTAAAGAATAAACATGTATGTATATCAGAATTATTAGATACCGCATTGAAATATTTGACAGCTACATGCAATGACGAATTCATCCCTAAGTTGATATACCACCTCAGATGATCGTAACGTAATTGGGGGAACATTGAATTTATTGAGCTTACTATTTAAAAGCTGTATACTGATGACCTTATCAGGATAGACTTCTTTAACTTTTCAATATAATATTACGGGAAATAAACAACGTTGCATCCTCCGTAGATTCTGCTTTTAAGTACATGTAATAAGGCTTCCAAACAAATGAACAGTAGTACTCCAAACTAGATCTAACAAACGCAAAAATAGTGTTTTTAAAGATTTAGTACTGGTGAACAATTTGTAATTTCTCACTATGAATCCAGCTTCATTCCCTTTTTGCTCCTTGAAGCAGAGGCTTGGGTCAAACGATTCACCCAGGACCTTGACTAGGTATGGAGTGACTCACCGGTCCTAAGCGACTTCTCAAAATCAACAGAAAGATTG